CTGCGTATCACCAGCGGAGTCTGCAGAACAGCAAATATTGCAGAACAGCAAATATTGCTGGCTGATCCTTCTTCTGTAAGCTTCATCCCAGAGGGTCACCTACCTGTATGAGGTGTCATTTGGCCCCTACTGGGAGGTGTCTACCACTTAGGCTAAACAGGGTTCAGGAACCCACTTGAGGATGCAGTCTGTCCTTTCTCAGAGTTCAAACACCGTGCTTAGAGAACCATTGTTCTCTTCAGAGCGGTCAGACAGGGATGTTTAAGTCTGCAGACGTTTCTGCTGCCTTTTGTTCAGCTTTGCTCTGTCCCCCGAGAGTTGGGCTCTAGAGAAGCAGCAGGCCTTGCAGAGTTGCAGTGGGCTTCACCACGTTTGGGCTTCCTGGCAGCTTTGTTTACCTACTCAAGTCTCAGCAATGGCAGACACCCCTCCCACTGCCAGGCTGCTGCCTTGCAGGTTGATCTCAGACTGCTGCGCTAGAAGTCAGCAAGGCTCTGTGGGCGTGGGACCCACTGAGCTAGGCATGGGATATAATCTCCTAGTGTGCCGTTTGCTTATACTGCTGGAAAAGTGCAGTATTTGGGCAGGAGTGTCGCGATTTTCTAGGTACAGTCTGTCATGGCTTCCCTTAGCTAGGAAATGGAAATCTCCCACCCCTTGCACTTCCTGGGTTAGGCGATGCCCCACCCTGCTTTGACTTGCCCTCCATGAGCTGCACCTACTGTCCAACCAGTCCCAATTAGATGAACCAGGTACCTCAGTTGGAAATGCAGAAATCACTGTCTTCTGTGTCGATCACGCTGGGAGCTGTAGACTGTAGCTGTTCCTAATCAGCCATCTTAGAACGGAAGAGACTGGGTAATTTTTAAAGAAAAGAGGTTTAATTGACTCACAGTTCTGCAGTCTGTAGAGAAACCATAACACAGGCATCCGCCTCTGGGTAGGCCTCAGACAGCTTACAATCATGGCATAAATTGTAGGTGAGGAGCAGGCATCTCACATGTTTGGAGCAGGACCAAAAGAGTGAGAGGTGCCACACACCTTTAAACAACCAGATCTCACAAGAATTCACTCATTATCATGAGGACAGTACCAAAGGATGGGGCTAAACCATTCATGAGGAATTCACCCCCATGATCCATTCACTTCCCACCAGGCCCCACCGCCAGCATTGGGTATTATATTTCAACATGAGATTTGGGTCGGGACAAGTATCCAGACTATGTTACCTGACTATTCTCAAAGTGATGGACATATTCATCCTTACATGTCCTCTTGTAGACCTACATGAACATTTCTTTGGGCCCATTTTCAGGAATAGAATTGCTGAGTCGTAGGAAACATATATGTATATTTTTTTGATTAAGTAGTTCCAGATTGCCCTTCTGAATGACCCCACCTGTCTGTAACCCCCTGGTTATAGTGGATGAGGATTCCTATATGCCTTCAACCCTACCAACACTTGGCATTTTCTTGCTTTCTAGTTTTTGCAAATCTTGTAGTCTTAAAGCAATATCTTATTTTAATTTAACTTTATTTTATTCCCAATGTTTTGAGCTTCTTTTCATGGTTGTATGCTTCTGGGATTGTCTCTTACGCAACTTGCCTGTTCTTATGCTTCATATATTTTCTTTTGGGGCCTCTTTTTCTTGTTGAGTTACAAAAGTCCCTTGTATATTCTAGATAATAATTCCTTGTTAGTTTTAGGAGTTGCACCTATTTTCTCCCATTCTGTTATTAATTTTTAAAAAGTCTTTCCCTGTTCATAGATCCAAGGTACTCTGCATTTTCCAATAACTTTATAGTTTTATGTAAAAGTTACATATAGATGCATCTAGAATCTAGTTTTGTATATGGTGTTAGGTAGGGATATGGTTTTATCTTACTGCGTGTACTAATACTGTTTCCCCAACACATCTAGTAAATACTCTTTTGTCTGTCAATTTGTAGTGCCATGTTTATGCTCTGTTAGACTCCCATTTTTCACATCAGTCTGATTTTGAGCTCTGGTCCTTTTCCATTGGTTTATTTTTCTGTTTTTGCAATAGTACTAGAGGTTTTTGTTGTTGTTGGTGGTGGTGGTGGTGGTGGTTTTTTTTCCCCACAGCTTGGAGTATGTTTTAATACCTAGTAGAGCAAATCTTACCCTCTTTACTTTGTTTTAAGTTTGATTTAGCAATTTGTGGGGTTTTGTTCTTCTATGTAAATTTAGAATAAGTTTATTAGAAAATCCACTTTGAAATATGATTGAAATTGTATTGAATTTATAGATTAATTTGAGGGATAATTGCCATTTTTATTATATTAAGTTGTCCTATCCAAGAGCATAGACATTATTTCTTTAGATTGTATTCTATATCCTTCATTAGACTTTTAAAGTTTACTCTGTAAAGGTCTTGTATATGCTTGGTTAATTAAGCTAATTTCTAGATTCTATATAATTTTTGTTGCCATCATGAATGGTATTTTTATGTTTTCTAAGTGGTCATTGCTGGTGTAGGAAAATGTTATTGACTTTTGTAGGTTGATATTATATTTGGTATCCTTGTTGAACTCTTTTATATTAGCTCTGAGAGTTTGGTTGATTCTTTTCTTTCATTTTTTTTTTTCTGGTTGAATGATTACCTTCTCTGTAAGTGGTGCCAAATATAGAACTTCCCTTCTGATCCTTGCATTTCTTAATTCCACGCCCCCTTTCCTCATAGTATTTAGCCACGATATTTAAAACAGTAGCAGTGATAGAGTCAAGTTTGTCGTGTTCATGATTTTAAATTAATGCAGTTAGTTTCTTCATTATTCATAACATTCTTTGTAGGTTTTTTGTATATAATTTTTACCAAGTTAAGGATGTTTACTTTTATTCCTTGTTCACTAAGGATTATCATTATAAATAGAATTAAGCTATATTAAATGCTGCTTTTTCTGTATCAATTGAGATAAAGCATATAATTTTTCTGTTTAGTCTTGCTGATATATTACATTGACATTTTCTGATGTTGAACTCCCCATGCTTTCTTGTGATAAACTGCACTTGATCAAAATGTATTTTTAAAAATATACTGTTGGATTCATTAACATTATTTAGCATTTTTTGTGTCTATATTTCATAAATGAAATAGCCCTAAACTTTCTTACTTTATAATTGTCTTTATTTGATTTTAGAATCAAGATTAAATTGCCCTCATAAAATGGACTGAGTAACTTTATTTTTTTTCCAGTGACCGGAGTCAATTGGATAAGGTAGTAATTAATTATATTTTGGAAGTTCAGTAGAATAAACCTATAACGTCATCTGGACCTGAGGGTTTTGTTAGGGAAAATCTTTGACTACCATTGCCATTTTATTTTTTTCTTGATATTTAAAAATATTTCTTGTAAGTTTTCCAATTTATTAGCATATTGTTTTTCATAATACTCATAGTTTTAACTTTTTATGTTTTCCCTTTTTCATTCTGTATTTTATTTGCATCTTTTCTCTTTTTTAGCAACGATCTATCCTATTAACCTTTTGACATAATTAAATTCTGGTTTGTTAATCTTTTCTGTTCAGGCTGTGTGTGTGTATCTGTGGAGGAGGAGGATTCTCTGGTTTTAAATTTCTGTCCTTTACCATCTTATTTCTCTGTAATTTTGCTATTTCCATTACATTGCCTGTTTAACTAGTATGTCGTTAACCTTTCTCATTTCATGATAAACTTACTGCTGTACATTTACTACTTAGTTCTTGTTTAACTCCGTCCTACAAATTTTTATTTGTGTTTTTATTATCATTCACTTTTAAATCTTTTTTAGTTTCCTTTCTTTTTTCTTTTTAACTCAAGGTTAATTTAATAATAAGCTATTGTGTTTTCAAACATTTGTTAAATTTTGGCTATTATTTTGTTATTAATTTCCAGTGCTATTGCATTGTGGTTGGAGAGCCTAAACTGTATGATATTCAACGTTTGGAATTTATTGATGTTTCATTTACGGCTGTAATCATGGTCTCTTTTTGGAATTTTTTTTTTTGTTGTTGTCTTGAATGTTCGATTTGTTGGATATAGAGTTCTACTCGGTATATAATAGCTTGAGTTTTTTAGTTGTAATGTGTAAGTGTTCTGTATCTTCATTTGATTTTTTTTTTTTTTTTTTGGTCTGCTTGACCTATCAGTTCCTAAGAAGAGTATTAAAGTATCCATATGCACTTGTTCCTTTTCTCTTTGCAGTTCTGCTAGTTGCTTGATATACTTTGAGACTGTATTATACAATATGTTTATATTTATGATGGCTATATCTTCTTGTCCTATTGATTTTTGTCATGTAAATTCTATTTAGTCAGATATTGAGACTGCTACCTCAGCTTTATTTTAGTTTATATTTGCCTGGCATATCTTATTATTTTCAGTTTGTCTGTGACTCTAAAGTATATCTCTTCTAGTATGAATATTGTTGAATCTTTTGTTTTAGTCTGTGTCTTTCTTTTAATTGGTAAGTTTAATTCATGTACATTTATTGCAATTACTTTTATATTGGGATTTAATTCTGGCATTTCTTTTTATGTGTTTTATTTATGGTACTCCTTTTTTTGTTTTGTTTTGTTTTGTTTTTCTCCTTTTCTGTTTTATTCTATTCTTGCCCTGTAATGTAAGATCTATCTTCATGTTATTTACCCTTACTGATTTTTTTACACATACAATAGCTGTACCTTCTTCCAACAAGATAAGTACCTCAGCAAGCTCTCAGGTTCTATATAGTTTCCAGTTATACATACCTCATCTTGTAAACTTTGTCTAGAATTTTTATCTTTTCTAGAATACAGGTTTTCCTCTCACTTTCATAGTTTTTCCAGTGCTGATTTCAGAAAAGGTAATACGGATCATACTAGTTTGCCACCTTGGTAGGAACTGGAAAAACTCAAGTTTTGTAGCAAATTAACAGCATTTATCTTGCTTTGAATGGCCCCACTTCAATCACAGGTGGTGAGTTGGTAACTTAATCAGTATTTTTTACTCCAATAACAGGTAGAAAATGTGAAATTGGTGGATCGTTATGTGAGTAAGAAACCAGCTAATGGGATTCTTTATCTTACTGCAACCCACCTGATCTATGTGGAGGCTTCTGGTGCAGCCCGGAAAGAAACATGGGTATGTTCATGAGAAGAAGTATCAAAGGGTCTTAAAGAGTTGTGCATACATGCTGTCTATATGGTAGTTTCTTGAAATTTCAAGTATAATTTTTAAATTGCTGTAAAACCTTTTCTTCAAAGGACCTATTGTAATAATCTTTTTGTGGTCTGAATTGTATTACTCCTCTTTTTTCAAGTTATTGACTCTGGTCATCGTAGTCATTTTATTCTACATTGTAATATTCCTGGGGATTAGCTAAATTATTTTTAGGTAGAATAGTTTCTGCTAACTTCCTGAACTATGTTTGTAAGCATCTTGAAGTAATTTAAAGCCTGCTATCCATAAAATGTAGTTTAAGAACCAGCAGTATCTGTAGCATATGGGAACTTGATAAAAATGCAGAATGTTAAGCATAAGATTTTGAATTTATAAAAAGGGCTCAGGTTATGCTGATGCTAAGGCCTTATTGACTTTACCTTGGGCAGCACTAATTTAGACCATCTCTCTGTCCTAAGACAGGATTTTACCTAGGTGTATATATATATATATATATATATATATATATATGTGTGTGTGTGTGTGTGTGTGTGCATGCACAGGCATGTGTGTGTGTTTATTTTTACACCTGTAAGTAATGTTTTCTAATTACTTCAGCACCCCAACATTACTTTATGCCTTACCCATCCTAAAGATCATAATTTAATCTTAATCATTAGATTTATGCGTAGACCTCTTCATTTATAAGAAGTACAACATGCTTCTTTTATACAGCATAGCTTAGTGATTAAAGCTTTAGAGCCAGTCTGCTCAGGTTAAAATCCCGGCTTCAACATTTACTAATTTTGTAACCTTGGGCGAGTTGTTTAACTTTTCTGTGTCTCGCTTCCTTCATCTGTAAAATAGAGATAAAATAATACCTTGAATATTTTTAAAGAGTTTTAAAAAGTCAAGATACAAGAATTATAATGTGAATGTTTATAAGTGCTTATAACAATGCCTGAAACATGGTAAATACTATCATAAAAGTATAAAATAAATTGAATTGAGTATGTATATGAAAAAAGTATCTTAATACCTCCTTTTAAAACTGAACTTTCCCCATATGTATCTTGCTTTTTGTGCTGTGATGATAAGAATGTCAAAAGAGGAGTGAGAGCTGGGCTAGACTAAGCTCTGATGCTAACTGGCTGCGTAACCTTAGGCAAGTGATTCTTACTCTCTGGGCTTGTTTCTTCATCTGTAAAATGAGGTGGTTAGATTATATAATTAGTAAGGATTCTTGCAGTTCTAACAGTTTAGGAACCAGTTCTTTAGTACTGTGCCATGAGCCTATCTCCTATCTACCTGCATTTATAGACAGTACAGATGTCTCCAGATTTGTTCCTTTTGGGTATGATTTCAAATCCAGGGGACTGTATCTGGAATGGAGGACTTACACTATTTCTGATGTCAAAGGAGGCTTATTTACCCAATTAGGGAAGTTCTTCCCAGACTTAGTCTGCCTACCTTCCCCCGACCCTTCCCAGTTTCACCACAATTGTTTGCCTGGGCCCTGATCTCGATTATCAGTATTGTACTACCAAAACACACATCTCTCATGTTGACTGGAAGATCTTTGATTTTCTTGAGGTTGAATATATTAATTCATATTACATTTTGTAATACCTCCAGAACTGCCATGGCAGGACTTGAGTGTGACAAAACAGTTAAGATAAAAATTAATCATACCTGTGATCCCAGCAGTTTGGGAGGCTAAGGAAGAAGGATCGCTTGAGGCCAGGAGATTGAGATCAGCTTGGGCAACAAAGCAATACCTAGTCTCTACAAAAGTTAAAAAATTAGCCAGGCATGGTAGCACACAACTGTATTCCTAACTTACTTAGGAGGGTGAGGCAAGATGATCTCCTTTGAGCCCAGGAGGTTGAGGTTGCAATGAGTCATGATTAAGCCACTGCACTCTAGCCTAGGCAACAGAGCAAGACCCTGCCTTAAAAAAATAGAAAATTTATCCTAGGAATATCTGAATCATTTCCACACTTGCTCCATTCTTAGATGGTGGATATGATTGAAAGAGTTCATTGAAGAGATGACTTTTCCAAATAAATTAGGGACTGGGACATTGAGGTGGTGGGAGAGCAGAAAAGGCACTATTGATTGCAAGACCATTCCAGGCACAGGACAGGGAGTCTAGATAATGGAAAGAGCACATCCAGGCTCCATAGTTGCAGAAACATCAGATAGGGATAGGAGGAGAACATCAAAGATCAAAATGCAAAACCATGATTCTATGGCTTTTTGAATCAATTAAGAGATAATTAATATTATTTGGACACATTTTGTTTCATCAGTTCCCTTTCCGTGCATTTCTTTGCTGGCATCAGCATGAACAGAAGTAATCATCCTACATTCTTTGCTTTACTGTCACTAGAGTTTAAAATGTAGAGGAATAGTTCCTCCCTAACATTTCTAGTTAAATCCTTATTCCAGAACTAGAGTTTTTAGAATTCCCAGAGAAGAATCCTGGCCTTATATGGACTGCTATGGTTCAAATTCTGTTTGTGCCACTTCTTGGCTATATGATATCTGAAGAGGAATTCACTTCTCAGAGCTTTGTTTTTTTTCATTCCTGAAATAGGATGATTACACGTCAAATGGCTCTTCTTAAATAGCTAATGGTCATGGACTACTTTGTTTATAATAAAGCACAATACCAGCTATTAATAACTATCTTAATTAGTAATTTGATATAAGAAAAGAAATTCTTATTTTCCTCTGTAACAATTATTCTGTGATTGTGAACTCTCTCACAGCATGCTAAAAGTCATCTATTCTGAGCTGATCCACCAAAATTGTCCCACGACTTGGTAATCTTGTATCCTTAAGGAGAGAGAAGTTTTCTAACACTGCAGTCTGCTTCTTGTTGCTTTACCACTATTATGCTTTAGTTCTATTTGAGAGAACCCCAGTTGTGTCTTACAAAGAATGGTTGTAGGCTATAGATGTAGCCTACAGATCTGGTCATGCTGTTACCATTACGGAGAGTCAGGAATACTGATAGTGATAGAGATATTGCACATCTGTATGTATATGCTGCTTCTTTTATGTTTTTCAGATTGCACTCCATCACATTGCCACCGTGGAGAAGTTACCCATCACTAGCCTGGGCTGTCCCCTGACCCTCCGCTGCAAGAATTTCCGGGTGGCCCACTTTGTTTTAGACTCTGACCTTGTGTGCCATGAGGTTTATATTTCACTGCTCAAGCTTTCTCAGCCAGGTGGTTGTGATAGTATTTTTATATAAAACCATTTTAATGTTTTTCCAAAATGGCATAATGGAAAGATCAGGGCTATGGAGTCAGAGGAGTGTTTGGATCTGGACTCTACCCCTTATTAGCTCCATTATATTTGGACAAGTTATATAACCTCTGAACTCATTTTCTTTACCTGTAAAAGTAAGGAGAGTAAAAGCTCTCCAATGGGGGTTGTTTTGAGCCTTGAATACCTTCATGTATTAGTATATAGTAGATGTTTAGTAGATATTTTCTTCTCTCTCCCTCCCTCCTTTTAAGTATCAACTTGTGAATGTTTCCTCAGTTCAGGAAGGAAGACTGCTGTGGAACAAAATTTGTTTCCTGTTGTCCTGCAGACTTTTTGTTTGGCCCACGATGTCCACCCCTACTTTTAATTCCATCTAGAAGGCTAAGGCAGTTCATCAAAGTCCTCATTAATGTAGGACTTAATGCTTCCTCCAGCTTCACCCTTTCATTCCCCATCCCCCACCCCTGGCAATTAACCGTCAGCTTCCTCTGATTTTAGTCTTTGATTTTAATCATGCTCTTACATTTTCTCCCCTATTTTTCCCCTATTCCCCCAAAATAATTCCTCAATATTTGCTGATTTTTATGGATAAAGTTACCTGCTGGATGACCCAGCATTTTACAAGTCTCTGATAGGCTCCATTCATCTCTGGAGAAGTTGTTGCCACATAAATTGGTCAAATGAGTTATTTGATTGGATGCTGTATCTTGTGAAGGGAGGAAGCAGGACTGACAGAGAAAAGAGAGGAAGTGGCCATTTATAAGTCAGAAGTTGCTGTTGGCCTGACAAGTAGAATGCAAAAACATTGTTGAAGATGTGTGCAACATGTTACAATAAGCAGTACTGTTAGGACATGGGAGCCCAGTTAAAAACTTTTGGTAAGGACTCTTGTCCTAACATGTGAAACCCTGAAGCCTCAGTTCAGTCAATTATCCAGCATTCTTTTTTTTATAGGAAGCCAGGCAGAAAGATCCCACTTTGTATTGATACCACAAAAAATTAAAACATTTTTTAAAAGAACCCAAACAGTATTCCAGTTTTTATTCCTTACATAAAGGCAAACTTGCACGCATCACAGTCTTTTTCTGGGACTGTTTGACAAACATTCCCTTTGGGAAAAGGAAATCTAGCATTTATTTGCATTGTTTGATGATTTTTAGGTTTCATTCATCATTTTGTTTTCCATGCCTATCTCTCTTCTCCAGCATTACCTGAAGACCTTTATGCTTTTTCTTATAATCCCAAATCCTCAAAAGAGATGAGGGAAAGTGGATGGAAACTGATTGAAGCAATATCAGACTTTGGGCGTATGGGAATACCCAACAGATACTGGACCATAACAGATGCCAACAGAAACTATGAGGTAATTTTGTCCTTGTTGTTTGCCTTTTGGTGCATTCAATTAAAATGGCAGAATATCAGGAAACAAGATTTTGAAAAAAGAGAGAAATGATTCATAATCCTTCTCTCCTTTCCATTCAACATTCAGCCATTCAACAAACATTTATTGAGTACCTACTGTGCAATAGGGACTGAGTAAGAGATCTCATGGCCTAAAGCATAAGGTGCTATGTGAGCATAGGTGCAGGGCATGAAAATCAACCTAGGAAGCCAGAAACAGCCTGATGCTTTGCGGAGTAGCCTTGTGAAGGCTAATTTACTTTTAACATTTTTTATTTTTAATTGTTATGGATATATAATAGTTGTACATATTTATAGGGTACATGTGATGTTTTTATATAGGCATACAATATGTAATGATCAGATCAGGGTAACTGGGGTATCCATCACCACAAGCATTTATCATTTATTTGTGTTAGGAACATTCCAATTCCATTTTCAGTTATTTTATTATTATTATCTGTAGTTGTCCTGTTTTGCTGCTGAATACTAGATCTTATTCCTTCTATCTAACTGTATTTTTGTACCCATTGAGGATCCTCTTTTTATCACCCCACTCCACTACCCTTACCAACCTTTGGTAACCATCATCTATCCATGAGTTCATTTTTATTTTTTTGCTCGTACAATATGTGAGTGAGGTTATGCAATATTTGTCTTTCTATGCTTTGTTAATTTCACTTAATATAATGTCCCCCAGTTCCATCCATGTTGTTGCAAATGACAGGATTACATTTTTTTGTGGCTGAGTAATATTCCATTGTGCATATATACCACAGTTTTCTTTTCTTTCTTTTTGAGACAAGGCCTCACTCTGTTGCCCAGGGTAGAGTGTAGTGGCATGATCATAGCTCACTGTAGCCTCAATCTCTGGGCTCAAGTGGTCCTCGCATCTCACCCTCCCATGTAGCCAGGACCACAAGCATCCACCCCCATGCCTGGCGAATTTGTTTCATTTTTTGTAGAGATGGGGGTTTTGAACTTTTGGGCTCAAGCGATCCTCCCTCCTTGGCCTCTCAAAGTGCTGAGATTATAGGTGTGAACCACCACGCCTGGCCAGTAGTGGCTATATGATTTACCTTCCTACCAATTGTGTATGAAGATTTCATTTTCTCCATATCCTCACCAGTATCCATTATTGCCTTTTTGATAAAAGCCATTTTAACAGGTGAAATGATAACTTATTGTAGTTTTGGTTTTCATCTTTATTATGATTATTGATGTTGAATGTTTTTTCATATACTTGTTGGTCATTTGTATGTCCTCTTTTGAGAAATGTCTATTCAGATACTTTCTCCATATTTAATTGGATTATTTGTTTTCATTCTTTTGAGTTGCTTGGGCTCCTTATATTTTCTGGTTATTAATCCCTTGTCAGATGGGTAATCTGCAAATATTTTCTCCTATTCTGTGGGTTATCTTTTCGCTTTGTTGGTTGTTTCCTTTGCCATGGAGATTTCTAGCTCAGTGTTATCCCACTTGTCCATTTTTGCTTTGGTTGGTTGCATATGCTTTTGAGGTCTTACTCGAGAAGTCTTTGCCCAGACCAATATCCTGAAGTGTTTCTCTGCGTATGGATGTCCAGTTTTCCCAGAACCATTTATTGAAGAGACTCCTTTCCCCCAAATATGTGTTCTTGGTGCCTTTGTTGAAAATGAGTGAACTGTAAATGTGTGGATTATTTCTGAGTTTCTCTCCTAATTTATACAGGGGGAGAAGGAAGGAGGTCAGGAAGTGAAACCATATCATAAAGGGCTTCATGGCCAAATTAAGGAATTTGAACTTTATCATGAAGACAGTTGTGAGTCACAAGAGTATTTACGCTTAAAAGGAACATATGTATATTTGTGTTTTAGAAAGATAACTGTTATTAGTGTGGAGAATTTGTTTGCTGGAGCTAAGAATGCAGAAGAATGATATGTGAAGTTATGAGAACCTGAACTAAGGCAATGGCTGCATATGGAGAGAAGGAGATGGTTTTGAAAGATATTTAGGTGGTAGAATTGAAAGCAACTGGTGACAGATCAAATGTGACTAGAAAAGTGGAGGAATTTAATATGCATCCCAGCTTTCCTGGTTTCTGGCTGTGATGACCAATGAGTAGTGGTGATGTTAACAAAGATAAGGACCACAAGAAGAGGGACAGATGGTATCTTGAATTTTACACTTGATTTCAAGGTGATTAAACAGATATCAAGTATTTGATTTCAAACATTTGGGTCTGGATCTCAAGAAAGAGCTCTGGGCCAAATATGGACATCTGGGAATGTGTTGGAGGTCCCAAAGACCGTTCCTCAGGTTTTGTGATTTACTAGGAAAATTCATAGGACTCGGCGTATAGTCATACTTATGACTGTGATTTATTACAGTGAAAGGATACAAAGCAAAAATCGGCAAAGGGAAAAGGTTCAGGGGAGAAAGTCGACAAAACTGGAACAAGCTTCCAGAGTCCTCTCTCAGCAGAGTGACATAGGACACACTGAATTCCTCCAGCAGAAATTGTGACAACACTTATGAAATGTTATCTACCAGGATGCTCATTAGAGGCAAAGTGCTCAGGGCTTCTATTGGGACCTGCCCACATAGGCAAGTTCTGCCTAGTGTATGCCAGAAGTCCAGATGTCCAGAAGGAAAGCAGGTATTCAGAATAAGCCACATTGTACAAACAGTTTTAAACACAATGCAAGTAGGCCTTTCTAAGGGTAGTCTGATGGTTAATATTGTCAATTTGATTGGATTGAAGTATGCAAAGTATTGTTTCTGGGTGTGTCTATGAGGGTGTTACTAGAGGGGAGATTAACCTTTGAGTCAGTGGACTGGGCGAGGCAGACCCACCCTTAATCTGGGTGGGCACCATTCCCTCAGCTGCCAGTGCAGCTAGAAAAAGCAGGCAGAAGAAGGTGGAATGAGCAGACTTGCTGAATCTTCCGGTCTTCATCTTTCTCCCATGCTAAATTCCTCCTGCCCGTGAATATCAGACTTCAAGTACTTCGGCTTTTGGATTCTTGGACTTACACTAGTGGTTTGCCAGGGGCTCTCAGGCCTTCTGCCACAGACTGAAGGCTGCTCTGTCGGCTTCCCTACTTTAGAGGTTTTGGGTCTCGGACTGATCCACTACTGGTTTTCTTGCTCCTCAACTTTCTGACGGCCTACCGTGGGACTTTACCTTTTGATCGTGTGAGTCAATTCTCCTTAATAAACTGCCTTTCATATATACATATATCCTATTAATTCTCTCCCTCTAGAGAACCCTGACTAATACAGGTAGCAATCAGGCCTGCTAGGATAATTTTTCTGCAGAGAGAGTCGTTGGTGTTTAAGTGATATCCCTGAATTGTTCATCTTTAACAGTGTTTTTACTATCATAGTAAGACTGTAATTGCAATGACTTTCTGGTAACATAGCTTTGAATGTCTACTAGGTATGGGGATTGATGAGCTGTGACTTCGCAGGGTCATCTGTGAGGTGACTTGTTAGGGTCATGCTTGAGAGGAATGAGTAGAGATTGGAAGTAAAATCTGTCCACCTCAAATGTGTGTCTGAGTCTTCCAAAGAAGGTCTGAAATATTCTTGTTGGTATTTTTGATGTGTATAACCTTCTAAGCTGAACGGGGAGCTCCATTTATTTTTCTTTGTATGACTGTCTTCTCCAAAGTTTAAGTCCGGGTAAGGGGGTGGGTAGAAAACATTTTTAAATGGTCTATATTCTGGGGACATTGACTTTAATGAGTTACATAGAGCATTCTTGATCTTATCTACCTTTAACTTTTTTTTTTTTTTTTTGCCAGTTCAGTTTATATTTGTTTCATGTGTTGTTAAATGTTTAGGGGTGTTCTTTACTTAGGGGAGTGATTAGAATTAATTTTGCAATGTCAGGTCTGTGGTGTTATAATATTTTGTCACTGTCTCTTTGGAAATATGTATTTTGGTAACCACTAAAAGCTGATAAACTTGAGAAAATATATCAGTCTTTTCATAGAGTAAGTCACACCTAAAATGTCAACACCTCCAACCCCTAGACTAGTGGTTTAAAGGCCATTCGGATATGAATACTAGGAACCTAGTATGCAGTTTACATATATAACTTTTTCCCTTGCTAGCAACAGGCTGGAATTCGCAATCACTCAAGCATTAGCTAGCTGGTATTTAATCATCTATTCCTCAGAAATAGAAATGAAAATATCCTTGGTATAAAAGCTTTTCCAAGTATGCTGTTATTTTCTAGAAAGGAAGGGATTGAGACATATAAAAACAAAATGTACTTTTAGAATTAGAATAACAAAAATCATAGAAACACATATAAAACCCCATCTTGAAATTCCTGCCTGTGCCCATCAGAGCAAAAACAATAACTGTAAACAAGTAAATTAATATGAACAGATGCAAATATGAAGCAGACAGGTGAAGGAGGAGAAAATATGATGTACTCTTTCATAAACTGCCTACTAGATTCCTAGTATTCATATCTGGATGGCCTTTAAAACACTAGTCTGGGGGTAGAGCTGTTGCATTTTAGGTATGACTTACTCTATGAAAAGACTGACATATTTTCTCAAGTTTATCAGCTTTTAGTGGTTACCAAAATACGTATTTCCAAAGAGAGAGTTATATATAAATATATATTTATATATATTGTGTTTATTTTCTTTTAGATATGCAGCACCTACCCTCCTGAAATAGTGGTTCCTAAATCTGTTACCTTGGGAACGGTGGTTGGAAGTTCAAAGTTCAGAAGTAAAGAACGTGTCCCTGTGCTCTCCTACCTCTACAAAGAGAACAATGTGAGTTAAGCAAATTTCTCTAATGAGAATTATACTTGGCTCTGGAAGACCTGTTTTAAGTTTCATGCTGCCACTTAGTAGCTGTGTGACCTCAAGCAAGTTCCTTAACTTCTCTGGACTTTCATACTTCTGAAGTTTTTTGAGAGGATCTCAGGAGGGAATAATATATGTGTACCTTGTAAATTGTAAATTGTAAAATGTTATGCAGATATTAAGTGGCATTTTAGTGTGTTTATTTGTTTTTTTTTTTTCCTTTTCTATGGGATCCAGCTTGGTGGAAAGTTGTGAAATGACCGGAAATTAGTTGTATACAGGATTTTTTGGGACTGTGGCCTCCCGGTAGAATACAGATATCCTTGATACTTTCTTACTGCTTTTCATGTAATTTCAGGTAGTAGTAAGAAAGCACTTGACTTCTCTGTGTTTCAGTCCCCTTACTTATGTAGGAAGTGATAATATTTATCACCTCTTGTAATCACTCAGATCTGGGGTTAGACAAATAGGCAAGTTGTCAAGTGGGCAGCCATTCAAGTGCTAAAGAGTATAGTAATGCAATTGGGTGTCATACTATTGAAGTGAGTCGACCCCTTAAAAACCACATCAAAGTGTAATCAATTTCATTAACTAATCATTACCAGACATTCATGTTAAATAGTTACGTTGGTTTTGTGTTAAAGTGGCTTGAAATAAACCACCCTTCTGATTTGGCATTAACTTCTGAAACTAGTGAACCCTGTTCTCTTAAGACGCTGTAGATCTTTGCTCTATCTTGAATTCTGCTGCCTCTGCAAGCTTATGGTTTATGTGGGCAATATCACTGGGACTGTAAAAAGTGAGGCAGTTTCAGAAAAATAGCCCATTATGTATCGAGAATAGAATTTCACTAAGGAAATACTCAACGATGTGATTTTCTTTCTTTCTTTTTTTTTTTTCTGTAGTCTGATTTGCCAAGACTGGGTTGGTAATTAGAGCCACATGCCCAGAGTAGGCAGGAGGTTAAGCGCAATGTCAGTGGAGAATGACTTTAGAGTCACATTTCTCTTTGCTTTGGACACTATCTTAAGTTGGCTTAGCCTCTCCCTCTACTCATGGAACCTGGCCAGGGTCAAGGAAGATTTTTGACCATTTGTGTATATAATCACTCAACTGACACACTTTTTCCTTACAGGCTGCCATTTGCCGCTGTAGCCAGCCTCTCTCTGGATTTTATACTCGCTGTGTAGATGATGAGCTCTTGTTGGAGGCCATTAGCCAAACAAACCCAGGGAGCCAGTTTATGTATGTTGTAGACACAAGACCAAAGGTATCTATTTGTCAGTGATGTCTTTGATATTTCTGCCTCTTGCAGTCTTCCTCCTCATATATTGAGACATGCAGTGTTATTGGGGAAGTTAGGTTTGTGTATGTGTGTTTATTACTTCGGACATTGTGTAAAATCATTTGGGGCTCCTTTTATAAGGTGGTCACTGACAAGTGAGGTTATGTGAGGGTAATTCGAACAACCCGGCTTTGCCACCGCAGTGTGACGTCATTTGGGGCTCCTTTTATAAGGTGGTCACTGACAAGTGAGGTTATGAGAGGGTAATTCGAACAACCCGGCTTTGCCACCGCAGTGTGACGTCATTTGGGGCTCCTTTTATAAGGTGGTCACTGACAAGTGAGGTTATGAGAGGGTAATTCGAACAACCCGGCTTTGCCACCTCAGTGTGACGTCCTGCATAGAAGGCTTATTAGCATCCCTCATCTTTTTTACCAAGTCTATTCCTTAACCAGAATTTTCAGTATTCCCATTCTGGGGTCCAAATTTACTGTCCGAGAAAGAGCTTCAACTTAGACATTGGAAACTTACTACAACCAGCGTATTTTTTTTCTGTAAATGTGTTAGGTCACAGTAGTTTAATAATACTTTGGTTCTCCCAAAGCACCAGGGTTCACAAATTTTACTGCTATACGATTAACAAAAAATCTTTAGCTCATGTGGCAGTAATTCTTTTTTAGCATCTAGCACTGTTAGCTGGTTAAATTTTTTCCAGTTTACTACAGTGCAGTTTAAATCTTGGTCCCAGAGAATAAAAAAGACCAAGTTCATAAATTTGCCATGGATTTTGGCAGTGGACATGGATAGACCTAGTCAAATCCTTTGATCTTTCCAATAATTTAATACTGCATGATTTGTTGCAATGTGTTTTCTCAGGCTTTGTCTCTGTCAAATATGAACGTTGCTGAATAGAGTGTCCTCATATTAACCTAAGTATCAGCTTACACTCCTCTCTGCATTAATTCCTTAACCTTCAACGTTTTGTCTAGCTCTATATGGGCTGTAGAAGAACTCATTGTGTCCCACAAAGAATAGATTCCCTATTCTTAAATGTTGTCCTTTTTACAAACAGCCCCAGAAAAAAATGATTTTGCTTATAATTTGGTATGTAAAGTGTGGCTGACTAAAAGGTTTCATTGCTGATTCTAGTGATTACTAAATTGGTGATTTTCATCTAAGCCTAAGCCAGATGGTGGTGACTTAAGAGTTGAGCAGTTGGATGTGCATGAAACCAGATAGTTGCCTTAGACAGCTTTCTGCCCCATCTTTGTGATCCCTCAGTGGCTATTCTCCAGAGCTACCTAGGACTGACTGAGCTCAGGAGAGAAAATAATTTCCCTTTCTGCTCAGGTCCATCCTTCAGTTTCTCAGAAGCTTGCTGTCTTGTTTCAACCATAACCACATCTGAAATTCCGCGATTGTAAAGAGTTTGATCGCGTCTGTATCTTTAAACATTAAATAATCTTAAAATAGTAAAGAGAAATATACCAAGCTTTGAAGGAACAAAACAGTTGGTGCCTTTTGTTCAAATCTAACACCCAAAAGCCCCTTTTATGTTCCATTTTCCTCTCTCCAATTTGAGCAAATTGAGACAGGCCTAGAAATATCTGGCATTCCCTCTCTTCTGGATGGCTAGATCTGTACTTTTAGTAGGAACTATATTATACTGACAAAATTTTGTTCTAGGAGTCAGTCAAACCTGTGGTCAAATCCTGCTTTCAGCCTTTATTCATATCATCTTGGGCAAATTGGTTCATCTCTCTGAGCCTGTTTTCTTTTGGGGATAATATTAGTACCCACTTTGAGAGGCTGTAATGAGGATTAAATGAGATAATGTACATAAAGGATTTAGCACAGTGTCACGCATAGTAGGAGCTCAGTAAATATTACATTACAATAAATATTACATCTGACATTCTGCAATTGGAAAGAGTTTAATCGCGTCTGTATCTTTAAAGATTAAATAATCTTAAAATAGTAAAGAGAACTACAGCAGGCTTTTGAAGAAACAAAAGGGTTCTTGCCTTTTGTTCAAATCCAACACCAAAAAGCCCCTTTTAACAGGTTCCATTTTCCTCTCAGTTTGCCACCTGAATATTAAATAGGTATCTGTTACTCAGATCTGCCAGACATATTTTTAAAGAGTGAATACTGGTATGAGGTAACTCGTTATCTGCATTAGGTGGCCTACCCAGACCTGGGTAGTGACTACTGTAATTATTATTATTACTGTTATTTTTGCTGAGGCATCACTCATAAACATCCTTGCTACTAGGTGACTATTGCTTATGCTTCCACAGGTGTTCTTTTGACATTTGTCATTAATTTAATGAAAGCTCAGTAACACTATCAATGTGATAAAAGATCAAAATTACCATCACATTTCCCCTTTTAACAGATGTCTTGCATTGTAAACAGAATATGTTTAGCACACTGACTTTTTTCCTCTGCATGTTTTAACTTGAATAGTTTGTGCTTTGAGATTTTTGTATTCTTTTAATACAAAAATTATACCCTGTCCACATACATGCTTCTCCTGCCTTCTGAAATGCACCATATTGGGAGATGAGAAAATAGGCCCAGAAAATAGAAAATCACTTAATTAGTAAGATGGTCATTATCATAGACAGTCTCTTGGCTTCCTTCTAGTTAGTCTATTCATATCTCCGCAAGTCTCATTTACTCCCTACCTCACCCAGCATTCTTCATATGACCTAGATATTTTCTGATTACCACAAGCTGAACATAGTGTTAAAACAATTGGTGGTGTCTCCATTTCAATTTTGTCAGTGAGTAAAAGTCATTTATCTCATGCAGTCACATTTTAGACATTTTTCTAGAACAGCTATTTAAAACTAATTGGGCTTTTGTGGTGGTTTATGCCTGTAATCCCAGCACTTTGGGAGGCCAAGGCAAGAGAATTACATGAGTCCAGAAGTTCAAGGCTAGTATGGGGAACAGCAAGACTGCATCTTTACAAAAAAAAAATTGTAAAAAAAATTAGCCCAGCATGGTAGTGCACGCCTGTAGTCTTAGCTGTTCAGGAGGCTGAGGCAAAAGGATTGCTTGAGCCCAGGAGTTCGAGGCTGGAGGGAACTCTGTGATTGTGCTGCTGCACTCCAGCCTTAATGACAGGTGAGACTCTGTCTCTTAAAAAATAAATACAATTAATTCATCCTAAAGCTCTTAAGCTTCTTTCTAGAGCTTCTCAGTTGTAAATATTTTTGAACTTTTGCATGTTTCTCAGTATAAAACCCTTTCAGCTGAGAAAACATTTGTGGTAGGCAGCTCAAAATTATTATTTCAGTTTTTTAGATCAGATATCCTCATAGCTGCTATATCCTTTATCTCTTAAGAAAGGTTTTCATAATGAAACAAAACACTATGTCTCCCTATTTTTCCCCTATATGAGTCTGTTACTAAAAGTACCTGATGTAAAAACTAGTGAAATTCTCTCCATTCCAGAATGTATCTCATCTGACTTAACTTATTTTTAATTGGGATTAAAAAGAATTATGATTTTAAACTGTTCAGAATGAGGCATTGAGATTGATGAACTCCATTCTTTCATCATCTGACCTATCTGCTCTATTATGTTATCCACTATTGCAGTTGAATGCCATGGCCAACCGAGCAGCTGGGAAGGGATATGAAAATGAAGACAACTATGCCAACATTCGCTTCAGATTCATGGGCATTGAGAACATCCATGTAATGCGGAACAGTCTGCAGAAACTCTTGGAAGGTACAGGGATTTCACCTTGGCTAGGCAAGCGGCCATAGCTTTGCATTATTATGTAAGCAGAAAGCATGCCTGATTTGAGGTGGAATATAAAAGCAAGCAGGTGAGCAGAGTCAGTAAGTGGTTAGGTGTTTAACTGTCGTACAAATCTAGCTTACATAGTACTGAATTACAGCAGTGTTGGTCTGGAAAAAGGAGTAAGATGTTCATTTTCATAATTCGATAAAGTTCATCTGGGTCTGGTCTAGTTGGTATGAAAATTATTTCTCTCCGTAGAAATACAGAGGTTGATTTTCAGGGATAGGCAAACCAACATAAGTATTAAATAAATTTGGGGTTGATTTTATCATCCTCAAGGTAAGAAATTACCTTATTTAATTTGGTATAAGGATTTAGTCTGATTTCATCACTATGCTGATGAAGCTGAATTTAGACCTCAAAAAATAAAGTTGATATCAGACAGTTTTGGTGATCTGTTATCGACTACAAAATGATTAGGGTCAGAAAGGAGGCAAGGTGGGATTGGGGCCTTACAAGACTCTTGGGTGTAGAACATTTCTCCTAAAACCACTACCCAGATTCCATGATGTTCTATGTCACTTCAGGCAGAGATAGTGAAAACCTGCCTTCTTTAGTGAACTCCCCATTCTTCCTCTCCTTTCTTCAATTTCTTACTTGTGTAGTCTGCCATGACCTCCCCTTTACATCACCCTTGCCAGATCTCATCTGCTCAGTCTGCATCCCTTTTAAAATATTAATGTCCCTCTTCCTTAGGTCTCTTACTCCTTTCTTTTTTGCCCCAGAATATGTTATGGAAAAGGACTTTGTTTTACAGATTTTTAAGGCAAAAGATTTCCCTCTGCTGGCTAATTATTGCAGAGTGCATAAAAATTAACTGGTAATTTTTTTTCAACGTGTTGACAGAACAGGGCTACAGGGAGTAGATGGGGATGTGGGAGTAGAGACAGATGCTGAGGGCCTTCAGAGGTTGCATAAGTGGGTGGGATTAGGATAGGGATCAAATATGTTTTCTAATCAGGGGAGGTATGTTTTCCTGTAGATGCTAATTCAGTCTTCTGGCTCTCTTCTTGAGAGATTTCTAAGGGCTTGAGAGTGGGTTCTACAGCGTAATAAAGCAGGGGCCCAGGCTAAGAGATCTGGTAGGCTTTAGACCTAGTTCTGTCCCTGACTCACTGTGTGGTTTCTAACTAATCATTTAACCTTTCTGCCTCAGCTTCCTCACTTACAATATGGAGATCCACTTTCTCCCCTTTCTTAATGAATAAATCGAGTTGATCGTGAATTTCAATCTCTGCTTCCTTTTCTACCTTAGTTTGTGAATTGAAAACTCCAACAATGAGTGAATTTCTTAGCGGCCTGGAGAGCTCAGGGTGGTTAAGACACATTAAAGCTATTATGGATGCTGGAATTTTCATTACAAAGGTAATAATCAGGACTTTTAAAATTGCACTGACTTTAATTATGAGATATGTTGAAGTAGTAGTGTGCCATGGAAAGAATATTGAAAAGAAAATCTAGTTTCTAGATTTAGCTCTGCCACTAATTCACTGTGTGCCCTTGGGCAAGTCTCTTTTCTTCTCTGGGTCTCAGTGTCTCCATCTTTAAACAAGGTGGTTGAACTAAAATCTAATGATGTAACTTTCAGGCGGCCACAGAATTCTTTGGGAATATTATTAACCCTCTCCCCAACTGGAAAAATGAACATATGATGGTACATACAGAAAATGAACCTCAATTTCAGAGGGTCCACAGAACCCTGGACTTCACATTAAAAACTCTTAGGTGATCTCTAATCGATAAGTGATAATAATTGATCTCTGGCTCAGTTATTCTATGATATATTTTTGTGTTGACACTAAGGTATTAAGTACAAGAGTGTGTGTGAAATAAATGCAGAGCTTACGTATCTATGAGTTTTCAGAACTCTGAATACAAAGACCTATTTTTTTAAATGTCTTTGTATAGATCTGCCTCCAAATGCAGTCTAGGTAGGCTTTGTCACCCTGTATTTATGCTGACCCATTTATTTTCTGATCTCTAGGACCCTAGGCTCTGTAGCCTTTGTTAAGTGGTTTGTTTTCTTACAAAAAACAAAAACAAAATTCAGTGTATATTTTCTCATTTTGACATTTTGTTTTTATGTATTTCTACATGAGAACTCTCCCTCTTCATCCCACCCCCATTATTTGTTAAAAGTAAAGGAGATAATGACTTTTCATCCATCTGCTATAATTTTCTCAGTTGAAGGCAATGTTATATATAGCTTCTGGCTTAAAAGGTTTGAAGATTGTATGCAATTAACTGCCTTAAATATCCAAGCCCTAATGCTTTTTGCTTTCCTAGTCCTGTTGCCTGCACTTTTCATTGTTATTGATGTTCACTATGTGACCCTGTCAGTTGTTTCAAGCGCACTATTCTAACTATTCTTTGTTCTGTTCCTTTTTCATAGATTCTATATCCATATATCTATAGTCCCTTTCTGAAACCAAGTTTATTAGACCAAAGAGAGTGAGGATGGATAAGAGGGAGATCTGATAGACAGTACAGCCTTATAAATATTGGTTGAATTAAAATGAATGAACCAAAAAGATAGGCTTGGATTGCACAGTGTTTCTGTGTTCCCTATCTCTATTACCACCTATCCAGTATCCCAAGCTTGAGAACCTCAGTCAGCCTTGAATTCTACCTCTTCTCCTCCATCTGGCTATTGCCAAGTCCCATGTGTTCTGCTTCAAAAGTGTTTCTCAAATCTGTCCTTTCTTCCCAGTCTCCACTGCTACTTCTCTAGTTAAGATAGCCACAACACATTGCCCGCAGTATAATAACCTCTTAACTGCTTTACTTGTCTCTAGTAGTTACTCTTTAGTTTGGGAACCAAATTGCTACTAAAGTTATTTTTCTTGAACATGTCTGATCATGTCACTTTAAACTCAAAATCCTCCATTGGTTATCAATTCTATTGCCAATAAGAACTCATAAGCTTGACATTCAGAGTCTTTCACAATGTCACCCCAACTTGGCTGTAGTGGACCTCTTGCTATTCTCTAACATACTATGTTACTTCTTTTTCTCTCTCTTTTTTAAATGTTTATTATATTTACTTGTTTTCTCATTACAAAAGCAGTACATGTATATTATCAAAGAAGTAAACATTTCAGAAATATATAACATAAAATGTAAACATTCCCCATAGTTTGTCCCACAGTGCACACACATCACTGATAGTAGTTTAATGTTTATGTCCCTCGATCAGCACTGTCCATTTGAATTTTTTGTGATGATGGAAATATTCTCTATCTGTACTGTCTAATACAGTACCACTACATGTGGAAATTGAGCACTTAAAATGTGGCTAGTGAGACTGAGGAACTGAATTTATGACTTTATTTAGTTTTAACAAATTCAAATTTAAGTAGATATAGGTGGCTAGTGACTACCATAATAGACAGTGCCGTTGTAGAATTTTTCAACGTATAGAGTTACACATATTAATACTTTGTGAAATGAGCTCATACTGTGCATACTGGGTTTTTTTTGTTTTGTTTTGTTTTTGTTTTTGTTTTTGTTTTTTTTGAGACAGAGTTTTGCTCTCGTTGCCTGGGCTGGAGTGCAGTGGTTTGATCTCGGTTCACTGCAACCTCCGTCTACCGGGTTCAAGGGATTCTTCTGCCTCAGCCTCCTGAGTAGCTGAGATCACAGGAGCATGCCACCACGCCTGACTAATTTTTGTATTTTTAGCAGGAACGGGGTTTTGCCATGTTGGCCAGGCTGGTCTTCAACTCCTGACCTCAGGTGATCCACCAGCCTCGGCCTCCCAAAGTGCTGGGATGACAGGTGTAAGCTACCACACCCGTCCCATACTGTTCTTTAATTGACCTTTTATACTTATACTATTTAATGAGCATTTGTTAAGACAGTTCAGTCAGTACTACGTCATTCTTTTCAGCAACTATGTTATATTCCATTGTAGTAATTTACCATAGTCCCCTGTTGATGGAGAATTTAGTTGTTCCTAATTTTTCGCTAATGCAGATATTGCTGCATCAAATATTCTTAAACATGTATCTTTATAGAAGTGGATTTTCTGAGTCAAAGAGTATGAATGTTTCAAATTTTAATAGATGTGGCCGAATTGCCCTCCAAGTAGGTAATACCAGTTTCCATTCCTATCAACAGTGCCTGTTTTTCCATTTTGGCAGCAATGGTTATCATCAATCTTTTTGATCTTTGCCAGTGTGATAGGTGATACATTTTATATTATGTTTTAATTTGTATTTCTTTAATCATTAGTGAAATCCAGCATCTTTTTCTGTCCACCAGTGACTTTGGACTCCGTTTGGAGCCCTAAACAAAGAACATGGTTGCTGCCATCATGCTCTGCCTACTACCTGAGGTGTCTGCTTAATTGAGAAGTCAAAAAGGTTGAAAAACTTTTTTCCAGATCTCTTTAACTCCTTTTTTACCTGCAACCTGACTACTTTTCTAGGAATACCATTTTTTCTTGTACCCCATTACAAAGATTATTCATTGTCCCGCATCATATGAACCACATGACCAAGGGCAGTTTCACTATTCTTGCTCCTTACAAAAGCCCCTCCTCCTTTCAGATCTATTTCATTTAGCTATACCACCCTATACACCTCCTAGTTACTCTTCCCCCTCCATTAAGGATGTTGGGAACAGCCTTGCCACCTTCTTTTCCATCCTGGTTCTTCCCGTCATCTGAAGAGATTTGAATGTCAATGTACAATTTATCAAACATTCTGCACTTATAGTTCTTTGGACTTTTTATAATTCCAGCTTTCACATCCTTAATCCAGCTAGCATAGTTCTTCTATCTCATGGAAACCTCTGCACTTTTAACTCCTCTTTTTCCAAACTTCTTTTTTCTTCCCTGTATACCAAGACCGGATAGTATAGCACTTCATCCATTCCACCTTGTCTCTTATCCTTCCACTCTATCTGCCCTGCTAGCCACGGTCATTCTCTGCTCTTACACCCTGACCTCTAAGCATTGCTGCAAATAAATATATCCCATAGATATGTTAGTTGGTACTATCACAGGTTTATGCTTGATAGTCTTAGCTGAGGTCCTGTAGTTGCAGGGCCACGGAACAGTTATTTTATGTGTATTTGGTTGGCTTCCAGTCCTGTTTCACCAAGCAGATATTCCTTGTACCTTGCTTTCAAACTGGCTACATCATGGTAACTTCCCCTCTATAAGCCCATATTGAAACATGTCCTTCATGGAAAAATGTATGTAATACCTCTTCTCACTATTATCCTTACCAAATTCTTCACTATCTCAGAGGGCATGGTGCCCCATCTTCTGTGTAAGGATACTCACTCCACCTATATTTGAAATTCCATCTCTTCCTACTTTAAGGAACCAACTCTATCGGTTAAACCCTCTTTGTCTTACATTTTCAACCTATTATTTTCGACTGGCTTCTTCCCTCAGTAGTATGCTCAAATGGTTTCTCATTCCTAAAGAAAAAGTACTTTTTCAGTCTTCTAGCTATTGCCCTCTTTCCTCTTGGTTATAACCTTCTGAAAAGTAGTTAGTCTTTCCTATTAGTACTTCATCTCCCTTCACCTTTCAGCCCACTGTGATCCAATTTTCATATATTGCTCTTCCAGAGGTCTTATGACCTTTGATTTGTCGTATCTAAGACTCACTTGTTAGTCTTCACTCTATTTTGACCTTTCTGTTGCATTTGGCACTGTTCACTCCTTTTCACTTTGAACCCTTTTTATAGTCCTGACTTTTATCCAACTACTCCCTCCTGGATCTTTTTTTTTTTTTTTTTTTAACCTTTTGGGCTTTTTTGAACAGGCTGACTCTTATGATAATCCTCCTTCCTCTACATGCCCTTTAAGGGTCACTGCTTTTTAAGGTCTTTTCTTTTGTCACATTTGGTCTCTGCCTGGACAGCGTCAACTATGCACACAGTGTACAGTGTATACTACTGTCTCTATTCAGATAGTGGTGAAATCTATGCTCTGGCTCAGATCTTTCCCTCTTCTGATCTTTAAACCCACATATCCAGTTGTCCCACTGGACTTTCCATTAGATGTTCCTGAACTACCTCAAACTCACCATGGCCAAAACAGAAATCTTACATATCCCCACTACTACCTAAAACTTTCTTTTGTGTTCATTATTTAGTCTAATGGCACTACCATCCACCTGGTTGCTAAACCACACATTTCAGAGTTATCTTTAAGTTTTCCTTCTCTTTCATCCCATGTCTAGTCTCTCACTCTGTCCTGTTAAAATGTTCATAATTAAAATCCCTCTTCTGTTTTTCAGCTCCACTGCTACTACCTTACCTCAGGCCTATATGGACTTCCACGATTTTAGTAGCTCCCTAACTGGTCTTCCTATATCCAAACTCATGTCCTCTCAATCCATTCTCCTTACTGCCACCACAGGGATCTTTCAACGATGTACATCTGATCATGGCACTCCTCTGCTATCAACTCCCTATTGCCATCAGATAAAATGTATACCTGATTTGTCTGACCCTTGTCCTCCTAGCCGGCTCTATCACTCCTTGTTCTCTCACTTCCAGCTTAGCCTGAGCCATTAAGTGTTCTTCCTCTATGTCATGCCTCCTTGCAGTGTACACTCTGTTACATCATTCTCCAGCCTGAAATGTCCTTTCCTCCTGGTCCATCTGATAAATTCCTATTCATCTTTCCAGACCCACCTTAGTTGTCTCCTCCTCCCTGGTTATCTTTTGTGCCTTTGTTATACCTGGCATGGATTTTTACCTTTTATTTTTCATTGGTTTGCAGCCATGCATGTAAGTGTTTGTCTCTTTTGTATTCCCAGTGCACATCATAGTGCCTCTTGTACAGTCACTCAATTATTGGCTAGGTGTATGGATGAATGAATGAATGAGTGAATTAATGTCCTTCTTCACCTAAGGAAATCCTAGTCTTTCTTCAAGGGTCGAGCTTCCCTGGCTCCTGCAAAAGAATATTGTTACTATACATTACTGTATATTACCAGTAGTTTTTCCATTGTATTTTAATTATTTATTTATCTTCGGTCACCCTGACTAGTTTGTGGGTTCCTTGAAAACAGAAACTGAGTCTTATTTTTGTATTTCTAATACCTGGCACATAGAGGCGCAAAATTGTTAGAATGAATAAGTGAATGGTCAATATGTACCATTGCCAAAATTTCCCAGGTTGAGTAACTGCCCAGATTTTTACATCATTCTGATTGCATTTATATAATCGCTTATTAAAGTGACCTAAGACAGGCGAGCACCTCCATCTTATGTTGAAAGCATTTGTGTTAGTAAGACTAAAACAGCTAGAGGAGATTGTTGTCAGATCTGGGACTAGAATGCAGAGCTGTCTGTGTTTTTGAGTGTGAATTCTTCCTCCAGTTCACCTATTCCTCTGAGAATTGATCCTTGGTTTCTTCAGAAGCTTAGTGAATTTAGAAATCCCCTCATTTTTCTTTTTGCCCTGCATTATGGGTTAGTTTTGATATTCTTTTCCTATTTGGTAAGCTGTCCCTCTCTTGCACTCCATTGTTTTCCTTTTCATTCCCCATAGAAGATGCTAACTTTATGAGAAAAAATTAATGTAGCCCATAAGACCAGGTTCTCTGTGCTTTAGGGACTGTATTTGGCAACTCTTTAACCCAACAAGCTATGCAAGGGTTGCTTATGGTACTTTTTTTTGCCTCTTGTCTTCACAGGCAGTGAAGGTAGAAAAGGCCAGTGTCTTAGTCCATTGTTCTGATGGGTGGGACCGCACAGCACAAGTCTGCTCGGTGGCTAGCATCCTCCTAGATCCATTTTATAGGACATTCAAAGGACTCATGGTAAGAGAGCACGCTACTGTATTTTACTTTGTGTAAGAGACAGATTGCGACAAAATAAAAAGAACTCTCAAACAACTTTTTTTTTTTTTGCCAGAATTAACTCTAAGTCTACAAAAATAGCTTTTTCAATTTAGCTTCTTTTCATTAAATTTAGGTGTGTACTATCTGTATACTTTCTTTTGTATGTTCAACATACTTCTTACCTATCAGAACATAAGTTATATGTAATAGACTACTGTACAGAGTAGGAAAAGCTCAAAAAGTTTGCAAAACTTAATGGATGACTGTTAAATAGGCTGTCCAAGGGGCTCATCATCTTTAACATGTCAGCTGTTTGAATGTCAGACTCATGATTGTTTTCTAGTGCTGAATCTAAGGCCTCTTAGTTGATCTTTCTAAGAAACAGGACTCACCATAGTGGTTTATTCTCATTTCTTTGGAAAGCTTTTTCTTTTTCTTTTTTTTGAGATGGAGTCATGCTCTGTCACCCAGGCTGGAGTGCAGTGGTGCAATATTGGCTCACTACAACCTCCGCCTCTTGGGTTCAAGTGATTCTTGTGCCATAGCCTCCCAAGTAGCTGGGATTTCAGATGTGCACCACCAAGCTCGGCTAATTTTTGTATTTTTAGTAGTGACTGGGTTTCGTCACATTGGCCAGGCTGGTCTCAAACTCCTGGCCTCATGTGATCTGCCCTCCTCAGCCTCCCAGAATGCTGGGATTACAGGTGTAAGCCACCATGCCTGGCTGGAAATTTTTTTTTGATGGTTAAAAATGGTTTTGTTACTAATATAAAGCTAAGAGCTGCCTTTGGATTTCTGTTTTTCAAAGTTTGAGTTTAATATCGTGCTTGTCAGGATTGCATTTAGTTATGGCTCAGTGGCTTGTCACACATCATGTGAAAGCCAAAGGAAATTTGACTCTGGATATGTCTGAGAGCATCTGAAATTTGAAGGCACCCTGTATAGGCCTATGAATGAAATCTAAGTTACTTAGTTATCATTTAGGAAATTAACTATTTTATGATCAGTTCAACCATTTCAGCAAAGTGTTTTGACATTCTTGTGTGCATAATTAATTCATTTTATGATTTTCCTAATGCAAACTCTTTCTTTTGTATAAAATGAAGATCTTGATAGAGAAGGAATGGATATCCATGGGCCACAAGTTTTCCCAAAGGTAAAAATATACTCATTTTGAAGGAAGAGGCTGAGGATAGTTCATTAGGGTGAAGTATGTCAAAACCTCAGTATGTACATGTAAAAGAAGGAAGAGGAAGTTGAACATTGCATAAATCTCTTTTCATCAAGAAACAAGTATTCTAGATACTATGCTAGGGCACTAAGGTGACAAAAGTAACCAGAATATTATCCCTGTTTTTAAGGAGTACAAGTAATTATATCAAATTGTTAAATATTTCAAGGAAGAAAAAGGCATCACAGGCTACAGAAGGAAAAGTGCTTAACATTGCACGAAGAGGTCAGGGTAGGCTTCCAGGAGTACACAGCATTTAAGGATGAGTTTTTGGAAATGAGAAGAAATATAATAGGAAGAACAAGGGAATGAGGAGGTCATTCAGAGGGACTAATATCAAGATAATGCACCTTAAAAGGTGCACCTTTTGAAAGATAAAAGGTGCAGATTTGTTCTTTTTTAAGGGGTGAGGATAAGGGCTTATATTTATCTGTTGTCTGCCATAAACCAAACTGCTTCACTAAGGCTTTATCTGTGTTATCAGAACAATCGATAAATATTTGTCAAATGCCTAACAATGTGCTGTATATTATATCAGACACTAAGCTGATTCCAAAGGCAAATAAAATTTGAGATTTGACTGGGCACAGTGGCTCATGCCTGTAATCCTAGCACTTTGGGAGGCCAAAGCGGGTGAATCGCCTGAGGTCAGGAGTTTGGGACCAGCCTGGCCAACATGGTGAAACCCCTTCTCTACTAGAAAAACAAAAATTTAGCCAGACATGGTGGCGAGTGCCTGTATCCCGACTCCTTGGGAGGCCGAGGTAGGAGAACCGCTTGAACCTGGGAGGTGGAGGTTGCAGTGAGCCAAGGCCACACCATTGCACTCCAGCCTGGGTGACAAGAGCAAAACTCTGTCTAAAAAAAAAAAAAAAAAAAAAAAAAAATTTGAGTTTTACCCCAAGGAGATTATAATTCAGGTCTTATTTTCCCCCATTGATATGTGTTCATTTAATTTCATTTGGTTGCCACTCTCTAGCCATCTGGGTCCATGTATTTATTCTTCCTTCACCCACAAACTTTGGACCAGTCATTATGTTAGGTATTGAGAAGACGGAGTTGAATCAGATATAGTCCCTATCTCTTCTTTGAAAGAAAAGAAAAATCAGTGATGACAGTGTAGTATGGTAAGTGCTTAAGACAGAGGAAAACATAAACTAAGGAAGTTTACCCATTCTGGGGCAAAGAAGGCTTCCTGTAATAGCTGACATTTTAACTGAGATTTAAAGTATGAGTAGATGTTATTTAGAAAGGGAGAAAGCATTCTAGCTACTGATGTGTTTTAAACCATAAAGGCATTAAACAGGATTATGTGTTTGAGGAGCTGCAAGCAATTCAGTGTGACTGGGTCAAAGGGTGTGTAGGGAGAATAGAGGAAATGAGGCCAGGGAAGCGGAGCCAGAGGAGAAGATCATTCAGAGCCCTGGTTTTTTTTTTTTTTTTTTTTTAAAAAAAAAAAGCTAAAACACTTGAGTGTTTTGTGTACATAGTAAAGCTATATTGGAGGACTTTGGACAAGGCAGTGACATGATGTTTAGATCTATATTTTACAAATATCCCTCTGACAGCATGCAGAAGATTGAAATTGGTGGCAAGGGGCTGAATTAGTAGGCTACCAGAATTGATGAGGGCCTGAAAAAAGACAGAAGCAATGGGATAGATACAAGGGTATTCAGGAAGTAGAACTCACCAGAAGATGGGAGGAAACATTAAACAGTTCTGGGATGAGGTTTCATTCATGTACTTTAATAAATGTTTCTTAAATACTAATTTTGTGCCAGACACTATGCAGTAAACAATATAGATGTGCTCATTGCTCACATAGAGCTAAATGTAGCTATTTAAATTAAATTAATTAAAATTAAATACAATTAAAAATTCAGTTCCTCAGTCACAGTATCCACATTTCAAGTGCTTAACAGTTAGTGGCTGCTATATTGGACAACACAACTGTATAAATTTTCCATCATTGCAGAAAGTTCTATTGGAAAGAGGGTGTATAAAAAAATAGACTAGATGACCAAAGGGTTTAGAGTATGGATGACAGTGAAGGACACCAGCAGCTAAGAGGTCTGCTGGGATTAACTAGCTTTGAAATTCTGGCTGGCATTTTGGTATGAGGTGTTTCCTTGCTGCTGCCAACAGAGACAAAAGATGACCCTCCTACAGCCTATTCCCAACAGTGTAATCCTTAATGCTAACTAGTGTCTTCCTTTACCTTTATTTGCATCTCTCAGGTGTGGCCACCTCGATGGGGACTCTAAAGAAGTGTCCCCTATCTTCACCCAGTTCCTAGACTGTATCTGGCAATTAATGGAACAGTTTCCCTGTGCCTTTGAGTTTAATGAAAACTTCCTGCTAGAGATTCATGACCATGTTTTCTCCTGCCAGTTTGGAAACTTCCTTGGTAACTGCCAGAAGGATCGGGAAGATCTAAGGTGAATTTACTTTGTGAGAAGACACTGAACAGGGAGAAGGGGGTCAATGCAAAAAGAATGTACCTACCACCCTGAATTTGACATAGCAGTCAAGAAAGGGGAGGAGATAACAATAATAAAAAGAACTTTTGAAGCATAAAGCACTCAATGTTTGCACAGAGATCTCTCAGAACCCTGAGATTTCTCATCTGTAAAATAGGGATAATAATGCCTACTTTTTAGAGCAATCATGAGGATCCAATAAAATAATGGATGTACAAGGCCTTTGCAAATAATTAATTGCTGTGCAGGTACAAGTAGTCATTATCTACAGTCCTTTCTCACTCATATCAGAGATCACAAACTAGCAGCTCGTAGGCTGAACCCAACCCAACAGGCATGATTTGTTTAGTCTGTGGAGTATTTTTTTAAACTCCTAATTAGTTGCCAACATTTTTGTTTATTTCCGTAGGTGTTTGGGGAACAGGTGGTATTTGGTTACATGAATAAGTTCTTTAGTGGTAATTTGTGAGACTTTGGTTCATCCATCTCCTGAGCAGTATACACTGAATCCAATTTGTAGTCTTTTATCCCTCACCCACTTCCTACCCTTTCCCCCTGAGTTCCCAAAGTCCATTGTGTCATTCTTATGCCTAGTTGCTAACATTTAAATATCAGTAGATTTCACATAAAAATCCAGTTATTTTAGAATGTTTTTTATAAATATTCTGAAAAATCAGGAGCTTTGGCAACACTAGACTGTGTTTTCTCATGATAATAATAAGCTAGAGGTGAATAGTAGCTGTTCCATTTGGATGAGGCAAACTCACTCTTGTTGACTGCAGTTCTTACCATTCTCTATAGTTTATTCTTAGCCCATTTCTAATGTTATCTGCCTAGTTCTAGCAGGCAATTGAGTTTGCACCCCTCTCTTAAACTAACATCTTGGCAATATATGAGACATAAGTACTTTTTGAAATTGACAAGGTAGAGCTCCTATGAACAGTATCTTCGTTATTTTAGAGACAGAGAAAAAGAAATAGAAAAGTAGCTGTTTCACAACTCACTCCTATTTCACAGCTGTTGGCTGAGTTAGTAGTTAGCCCAACCCACAGGGCCCTTTATAGCATAGCCAGGATGACATTACTTCTCTGTGATTTGGTTTTCCTGTCAACATAGAGAACAATAATAAGTCTTTCTGCTTCAACATTTGTATTTATTTGGTAGTGTCTCTCTTGATGCCATGCATGTTTCTCTCTCTCTCTCTCTTTACAACTAGACCTTTGTCACTTTCTCCCCAAATTCTTTTAAGGTATTCATTCTGTCTTTGTTTACCTATGCATTAAAACTGAGAATCTTTTCCATAATCTTTTTCCTTCTCTTAAAATCAAGTCAATATATGTGGTATTTTTCACACAAATCTGGATATCCATTTAAAAAACATAACAGTTGAACATTTTAACATATTTTAAAATAGTGATTACTTAAAATAAGCAGAAGTGTCATTCATTCATGAACGGAAAAGCACGGGCTTTAGAATCAGGCAGACTTGGGTTCAAACTTTGGCTTTGTTACCTACTAACTATGTGACCTTGAACAAAATAATATTTAGTTTCATTTTCTCGGTAATTTTGGGCTAAAATATCTCAAAAGGTTTTATTGGGAAAATTTAAGGAGGTATTTTAGGTAAAGAGTTTGGAACAGTGTTTGAACACATAGTAAATACTCAACAAATTAGTTACTTTACCAACGGAATTTTTTTTTTCTGTTATAAACCAACAGCAAATGAGAAAGATGGATATACAGAGCCTTTGGCCTCACTGGAATGCTCTGACAATTGTAAAAGTTACAAGACCACAATTTTAGGTCTTACTGCTTATATCACTCTTCATTTCTCCTTTAGCTTCCTTTGACATGGTGTGTGTGCAAATGACCTTCTCATGAATGGTTATACAGCAGCTCTCTTTGGGAACCAGTGGATCTCATGTATTTTGAGGTGTTAACTAAGGGACTTGCTTACTGGTTAAGCAGGCTCCCCATGGTCTCAACTAAAGTATAAGAATCAGTTCTGTAATATAAATGCCATAGTCTTTAGTTGCCCACCTGGGATAGCTCATGAACATTTTCTAGTATAAATTTCCAATTGTCTTTCACTATGTTAAACCTTCTGAAGGGAGGAGAAGCTGGCTTTAAGTAAAATGAAAAATAGAAGAGCCACAAATTCACCCCGTAGAACCTATCTCTTAACTTACCAGACTTTTAAAAGCAATTCCAGAATTTTAAAACCAGAAAAGTCATTAGTTCATAAAATCCTTGATTTGGAAGATAACTTAGAGGTCACATTTAACAGTGAGGAAATAGGCCCAGAAAAAACTCGGGATTTTCTTAAGATCACACAGCTGTTCCACACAGAGACTGGACTTAGAATCTCCTGTTCTCCAATATGGAACTCTTTCTAGCCTCTCATTTATTTTAAAGATGGATAAATTGAAGCCCAGATAATTTGTTACTCCATCAACACTTTTTTTTTTTTTTTTTTTTTTTTGAGACGGAGTCTCACGCTGTTGCCCAGGCTGGAGTGCAGTGAGTGGCGCGATCTCGGCTCACTGCAAGCTCCGCCTCCCGGGTTCCCGCCATTCTCCTGCCTCAGCCTCCTGAGTAGCTGGGACTACAGGCGCCCGCCACCGCGCCCGGCTAATTTTTTGTATTTTTAGTAGAGACGGGGTTTCACTGTGGTCTCGATCTCCTGACCTTGTGATCCGCCCGCCTCGGCCTCCCAAAGTGCTGGGATTACAGGCTTGAGCCACCGCGCCCGGCCCATCAACACTTTTTATCTACTTATTTTTCTTCTGTCATATCCTGTCCTCCTTTCTTGAGTTGGGTTACTTGTTAGTAAAATTTGCTGCTTATCAGTTCAACAGGACTATTGAGATTACTTGCTTATTGCTTTTAATTTTTTGGCTTGTTTTTCTTTTCTAACAGAGTCTATGAGAAAACACATTCTGTGTGGCCTTTCTTGGTTCAGAGGAAACCAGACTTCAGGAACCCTCTCTATAAAGGCTTCACTATGTATGGGGTACTCAATCCTAGTACTGTGCCCTACAACATTAAGTAAGTTCTTAAGTTTTTCCCTCCTTTCTTATAGCAGGTCCCAGGGTCTCAGCTTCCTTGCTTCTCCTTAGATAGCTGCCATCATCTGTACAAGCCTGGCTATGGAGTAGGATACTCTGTCCTCATATCACCCATACCTTGCTGCTTCTGAAAACAAGAGCCCAATTCCTTTTGGTTTTCAGGGCTTTGCTGTTACCTGCTTAGGGAAATAGATAAGAAATTGTAGTTGATTTGTAGGAATACAGCCAGTCAAGATAACATTTGTTTGATTCATTTACTCTTCCTCTGTATCTTCTACTTTTCTGTCCCTTACCCAATAAAGAAAAGAAAAATAAAGGAAACCAGGAGAGTGCTGGTAATGTTTGTTATATTTTTCCAAAGCTTCTGCAGGCTGAAGCACTCACAAAGAGTGCAAAGCAGACATTAATATATTTATTAGCTCTAATAGCTCATTTTGTGGATTCTTTAGGATTTTGTAAATGTAAGATCATGTCATCTCTGAATAGAGAGTTTTATTTATTCAGTTGCAATTTGGATGTCTTTTATTTCCTTGCCTAATTGCTCTGGCTAGAACTTCCAGTACAGTGTTGGGTAAAAGTAGTGAAAAGAGGCACCTGTGTCCTGTTCCTGATTTTTTTTAGGGGGAAAGCTTTCAGTCTTTCACTATTGAGTATTGATGTTAGCTGTAGGTTTTTCACAAATTTCCTTTTTCATGTTTCGGATGTTCTCTTCTGTTTCCAGTTGAGTGCTCATTGTATTTTTTTTTTTTTTGCTATTATTATATTTTAAATTTTAATTGACACAATAATTGTACTACATATGGGATATAGAGTGATTATGCTGTATTTGCCTTTGTGTGCCCGGCTTATTTCGTTTAACATAATTTCTCCAAGCTCATCTGTGTTGCTGTGAATGACAGCTTTTCTTTCTTTTATATTGCTAAAATAATATTTCCTCGTGTGTATATATCACATTCTCCTTCTCAATCCATCCGTTTATGAACATTTAGGTTGATTTCATATCTTGGCTATTGTGAATAGTGCTGCAATAAACATGGGAGTGCACATACCTCTTCGACACAATGACTTCATTTTCTTTGGATATATACTCAGTAGTGGGATTGCCAGATAGATCATAGGGCAGTTCTATTTTTATATTTTTAGGAAGTCCATAATGTTTTTCATAATGAATGTATGATTTACATTTCCACTGATAGTATGTGAGCATTCCCTTTTTTCCACATCTTTGTCAGCGCTTGATATGTTTTGTCTTTTTGTGAATAGCCATTCAAACTTGGCGAAATGATATCTCATTGTGGTTTTGATTTGCATTTTCATAATGATTGGTGATGTTGCATTTTTTTCATATACCTATTGGCCATTTGTCTTCTTTTGAGAAGTATCTATTCAGATCTTTTGCCCATTCTAAAATCAGATTGTTTGCTTTGCTATTTAGTTGAGTTTCTTATATATTCTGGTTATTAATCCTTTTTAGAAGGATAGTTTGCAAATATTTTCTTCCATTCTGTGGGTTGTCTCTTCACTTTGTTGATTGTTTCCTTTACTGTGCAGCAGAAGCTTTTTAGTTTGATGTAATCCCATTTGTCTACTTTTGCTTTTGTTACCTGTGCTTTTAGAGTCATAGCCAAAAAATCGTTGCCTACTCCAATATTATGAAGTGTTTTCCCTATGTTTTCTTCTAGTAGTTTCATAGCTTTCAGTCTTTCATTTAAGTTTTTAGTCCATTTTGAGTTGATATTTGTATGTGATGAGAGATATGTACCTAGTTCCTTTCTTCTGCATATGGGTATCCATTTTTTTTTTTCCAACACCATTTACTGAAGACTGTACTTTCCCCAATGTTTGTTCTTCACACCTTTGCCTGTATATGCATTTGTTTTTCTAGGGTATCTATTCCATTGGTCTATGTGTCTATTTTTAGATCAGTACCATGCTATTTTGCTTACTATAGCTTTGTAATACATTTTGAAATCAGATAGTGTGATATCTTCAGCTTTCTTTCTTTCTTCCCCCCCGCCCCCCCACACGTTTGCATCAGCTATTCGGGATCTTTTGTGGTTCCATACGAATTTTAGGATTGTTTTTTCTATTTCTGTGAAGAATGCCATTGATATTCTCATTAGGGATTACATTGAATCTGTAGATCACTTTGGATAGTGTAGACACTTTAACAATATTAATTCTTCCAGTCCATGAAGATGGGATATCCTTCTGTTTATTTGTGTCCTCTTCAATTTTCTCCACCAATGTTTTATAGTTTTCAGTGTGAAGATCTTTCACCTCCTCTGTTAAACTTATTCCTAGGTATATGTTTTTTGTAACTATTGTAAGTGGGATTGTTTTCATGATTTCTTTTTCGGATAGTTTACTATTGATGTATAAAAATACTGCTGATTTTTGTATCTTGCAACTTTACTGAATTTGTTTATTAGCTCTAGCAGTTTTTTGGTGGAGTCTTTTGGGTTTTCTGTATACGGTGAACCCTTAAACAACACGGATTTGAAATGTGTGAGTCCATTTATATATGGATTTTCTTCCACCTCTGCAACCACTGAGTCAGCAAGACAACCCTTCTTTTTCCTCTTCCTCCGCCTACTCAACGCAAAGATGACAAAGATGTAGATGTTTATGATGATCTACATTCACTTAATTAATAGTAGATGTATTTTCTCTTTCTTATGATTTTCTTAATATTTTTTTCTTTAGCTTAACTTATAAGAATACACTATATAATACATATAACATACAAAATAGGTGTTAATCAATGATTTATGTTATTGATCAGGCTTCTGGTCAACAGTGGGCTACCAGTAGTTAAGTTTATTGGTAAGTGAGAACTTATACATTGATTTTCCAGTGTGCAAGGGTCTGACAATTCTAACACTGGTATTGTTTGAGGGTCAACTGTATGCACTCATGTCATCTGCAACCAGGGATAGTTTAACTGCCTTTCCAATTTGGATAACTTTCATTTCTTTTTCTTACCTAATTGCTGTGGCTAGGAATTCAAATACTGAGTAGAACAGAAGTGGTAAAAGTAGGCATTGTTGTCTTGTTCCTGATCTTAAGGAAAAGCTTCCAACTTTTCCCTGTTCAATATGGTGTTAGCTGTGGGTTTGTCATATATGACTTTTATTTGTAGTGAGGTACATACTTTCTATACATAATATGTTGTTTTTATCATGAAGGGATATTGAATTTTGTCAAATGCCTTTTCTTCATCTATTGAAATGATCACATGGTTTTTGTCCTTCATTCCATTTAGTGTTCTGTGTCACATTTATTGATTGGCATATGTTGAGCCATTCTTGCATCCCTGGGATGAGTTCCACTTGATCATAGTGAATAATCTTTTTAATGTGCTGTTGAATTCTGTTTGATAGTATTTTGTTGATGATTTTTGCATTTGTGTTCATCAGGGATATTCTTTTTCAATTGTGTCCTTGCCAGGCTTTGCTATCAGGGTAATGCTGTCCTTATAAAATGAGTTTAGAAATATTGTCTCCTCTTCAATTGCGTCAACTAATTTGAGGAAAATTGGTATTCGTTCTTTAAATGTTTGATAGAATTCAGCAGTGAAGCCATCGAGTCCTGGGCTTTTCTTTGATGGGAGATTTTTATTACTGTTTCGATTTCATTACTCACTATTGGTCTGTTCAGATTTTCTATTTCTTCTTTTTTTTCTGTAGAAAACTTATTTTTTCTTTTTTTTTTTTATTATACGTTAAGTTCTAGGGTACGTGTGCACAACGTGCAGGTTTGTTACATATGTATACAGGTGCCATGTTGGTGTGCTGCACCCATTAACTCATCAATTGCATTAGGTATATCTCCTAATGCTATCCCTCCCCCCTCCCCCCACCCCATGACAGGCTCCAGTGTGTGATGTTCCCCTTCCTGTGTCCAAGTGTTCTCATTGTTCAATTCCCACCTATGAGTGACAACATGCGGTGTTTGGTTTATTGTCCTTGCAATAGTTTGCTCAGAATGATGGTTTCCAGTTTCATCCATGTCCCTACAAGGACACAAACTCATCCTTTTTTATGGCTGCATAGTATTCCATGGTGTGTATGTGCCACATTTTCTTAATCCAGTCAATCATTGATGGACATTTGGGTTGGTTCCAAGTCTTTGCTATCGTGAACAGTGCTGCAGTAAACATACGTGTGCATGAGTCTTTATAGCAGCACAATTTATAATCATTTGGGTATATGCCCAGTAATGGGGTGGCTGGATCCAATGGTATTTCTAGTTCTAGATCCTTGAGGAATCACCACACTGTCTTCCACAATGGTTGAACTAGTTTACAGTCCCACTGACAGTGTAAAACTGTTCCTATTTCTCCACATCCTCTCCAGCACCTGTTGTTTCCTGACTTTTTAATGATCGCCATTCTAACTGGTGTGAGATGGTATCTCATTGTGGTTTTGATTTGCATTTCTCTGATGACCAGTGATGATGAGCATTTCTTCATGTGTGTGTTGGCTGCATAAATGTCTTTTGAGAAATGTCTCTTCATATCCTTTGCCCACTTTCTGATGGGGTTGTTGTCCTTTACATCCCTTGTAAGTTGGATTCCTAGGTATTTTATTATCTTTGAAAGTTGTATATGACCAGGAATTTAGCCATTTTTTATAGGTTATCTGGGTTTTCTGGCATTGAATTGTTCCTGTTACTATCTTGTGATGCTTTTTATTTCTGTGTCATCAATTGTAGTATCTCTCTTTTTTTAAATCTGATTTTATTTGAGTCTTCTCTGTTTTTTCTTAGGTCAGCTAAAGGCATCTCAATTTTATCTTTTCAAAAAAACTACTCTTTGTTTCATTGATCTATTTTAAGTCTCTCTTTTCTTTTCTTTTTTTTTTTTTTTTTGCGACAGGGTCCGGCTCTGTCACCCAGGCTGCAGTGCAATGGCACAATCATGTTTGACTGCAACCTTGACCTCCTGGGCTCAGGTGATCCTCCTGCCTCAGCCTCCCT